GCACATTTGTCGGTGGAGGCATGTGAAGTCTGTGTTTTCAAAACTCAACTGGATAAGGCCATGAGGAACTTGATCTAGCCTTAGAGTTAGCCCTGTGTCCCTTCCCACCTAAATCCTTTTGTGATCCTTTGTTGCTTAGATAGAGTTTGTTTTCATTTGTGTTTTGCTGTGATTGGACTTTGTTTCTGCTGGTGAGTTTACGATTTATAATGGAAAAGATTCTCTCCAGAAATGCATTTTCTCATAGCCTCTCCTCTTCGTGCTGTTGGGAGCCACGTGCAGATGAACCTTTGCTGTTCTTACTCCCCTTCGAGATGGGTAAAAAAGAGGCAGCAGAAAGATACAATGATGGGAAAAGCCTTCAGGGAAGGAAAGGAAGAGAAAGTCTTGGGTGAAAGATACAAATCAGCTCTGGAGAACTGATGAACTTTGAGGATGGCTTGTGTCCAGTTACCATCAGACTTCAGTAAGACAGGAACTGTAAAAAATGGAAGGAGACATTAAGTCAGCACTGTGGACTGCGAGAAACCAGGCTGAGTCACTGTACCCTAGAAAAGAGGATTACAGAATCCCATTTGGAAAAAAACAAGAAACTGGTAAATTTATTATCTAGGCTCCTGTTGGAGATTGGGGCCAGGAGGAAGGAGTAGAAAGTATTTGAGCACTTGACGTGATACTACTTCCTTCCATGGAGTTTTCTGCTGGGACTGGCAAGTGCCTGAGAGACAGGCCTGGATGGCAGAGGTTTAGTCTCTCTGCTTTGTTTGTGTAGCTACAATGAGGCTGTGGTTCTGTCTGGTTTATTTATAATGCAGATGTCACTGTTTCGGTCTGTCCATAAATAAATTGTATGACTGCCAAAAGGTGATATAGTGGATAGACAGATTTTACTTAAGGTAAATTACACTATGCTATAGAGTAGTATTTAAAAATGGGCTTTAATCTCACCTTCCTCTTTAGCCAAAAAAAAAAAAAGTCTATTAGCTATTGGTAACAAAGCTAAAAGATTTATTATAGTATTTGTAGTTTCCTTTCTTACTTGTCCTTTCTGAAAATGCATGTACCTGTTGGAGAAATGTGTTCCACTAAGCAAACAGCATTTAAGGTTAACTTTTTGCAATAAGAAACTGTTTTTTTTTTTCCCAAGGAATTCCCACAGAATTTGCCTCATATCACTTTCTTTATTTTTTCACTAATAGTTGTAATTAACTCCCTGCTGTCTCCATAGCGGTTGACCATCCCAGAGTAATTATATCTGGTTATATCCAGAGTAAATATACTCTGGTTATATCCATCCCAGAGTATTAACTTGCAAGATTGTTCTACGGAACAGGATCCTCACGAGCTAGTTGCTGCTTGTTGTTTTCTCTTTGTGTTGTTGTAGACAGCTCATTTCTTACATGCGAAGGAAGAAGACAAAGTTCAAAAATTTTATTTCTATTCCTAAAGTAGAACCTTCTGAAAAGAAGCTATCCATGAGCAATGCTTCCACCTTGTTTGCCTTGGACTGAGCAGGAGTTAGTGATTCAGTCTTACTGGGAAGGTCAGCTGCAAACCTATGTCTGAACTGGCTCCGTACTTTGAAGCTTAGCAGCATTCCCTGTATTTCTCCTATAGATGTCTAACTGTCTGGCTTGTGTTGTGGTTGTGGATCAGGAAATTAATGTAGATTCTGGGGTCCTGACTTGTGGCTTATGTGAGCTGGTAGCAAGCATTGCTGACTTTGGCAGTACCTGGAGAAACATGAGTTGCTCTGCTTTTCAGAAGTTGGAGGCCAGGGCAAAGTGGATGAGTTGTGTTAAAGGATGATCAGCTCAAGTCTTGTGCCATATCAGGATGTATGTGGTATGCAGAAGAGAAGGAAAATGGCACAAGTGCTGTTGTGGTGGTCTACTTTGGAGATGCCTCTTTGCCTTCCAAGAAAAAAAAAATCTAATCTAATTTTATCATTCTCTTGTACTGTAAGGGAAGGGGATATATTGTTAAAGTGAAGAGTCGGTGTCCTTTGAGAGAACAATATGTTGGTTTGCTTCCTTTTGGTTTGTGGACCCTTTTGTTAAATTTGAGTCATTTCTTCTAGTTCTTCACCGTCCTGATAGCTAGGAGTGCATGCATGCATCAAAGAGATTAATGAGCAATAAACCTGTTTGAGAAGTGGGTCTTCAAGACAAACCGATGTTAAGTCCTATTATAGAAGTCAAATGACTGGAGTTGGCACCTCATTGTCTGTTCCAGCTTTGCATTGTTTGTATGAATATGGTGCTGTGAGAGACTAGCAGGGATTTCCCCTCTGCTGGAATCCAGAAAGTGAAAACTACTGAGTGGAGCTGAGTCGTGGCTGGAAGTGTCACTAGCGAGGCAGGGCAGATAAGGTGGGAGGCAGATTGTAGAAGCAGAAGTGGTGATGTGCATGAGGATTCCTCCAAGCCAAATTACTAGCTTGACTTACGCACAAACGTCTAATTCACTGACCCGCTACTTCCCAATCAGTTGAAGGTTTCTTGAGAAGGCCTGTCTCGGGGAGCTCTATTCACCCCTCTTGCTTAGCCTTCCTTACTGAAGCAGGCAGCCATGGCAGGGGGGTGGATCCTCATCTACCTCTCACGTGCAGCAGTGGCCGCTCTGGGGCCATGTGCTCCTTTCCCAGACACGTTCAACCTGTCTGGGTTTTGCTTTTGTTACTCTACTCAGTAAAGAGAAAAAGGAAACCAGGAGAAGGGTTGTCTTCTATTAACCCAGTGAGCTGCTGCTCCTAAAGTAAGTGACTAACTTCCCTCCCCAGCTTAACCCGTGCCATTATTTCAGGTCCCCTGCCTGCATTGCCATACTGTGGGATGGAGTAGCCAGGGCTGATGCTTACTCTGCCCTCCAGCCCTCTTCAGCCTCAGTAACATTTTAGGCCTCAGACCCTTTGAGCCTCTTTCCTGGCCCACTTTGAGCTCCAGCATAATTCAGGATCAGACACAAAGATGTGCAGTATGTGGGAGAGTAGGAAAAGTCAAGGAAGAGAGGAAGAACAGATGGTGGTAATCAGGCTTGTTCTCCAAAGGTTGAGAGCTATATTGAGTACCATACTGACTCTGAATACTAGTATTGATACACTCAGAAAACCCGAAGGCTGAAAGTGATCTTCAGCTGTTTGTGTGTTGCAAGATGTGGGAGAGGAGGACATAAATGAACCCAAGCTGCAGGTTAATGTGTCCTGTACAGAACAGTTACAGTACAAAAGTATGCTTGGGCTGGCATGTATGTGCAAGCACATGTGTTCCTGCTTCTGAAATGGGACAGCATTTGGAAGAAGGGAGAGGTCCTCCCCATTTAAAGAAAGAGCAGAGAAGTGGAGGAGTGAAGAGGAGGAAAATCCTTCCATCTCTCATTTTACAGGTCTCTGAAGAATGGGTTATAAAGTATTCTAAAATGCAGAAAAAACAGGGCTTAAGGAAGCTTTTACAATTCTCACTTCTTCACCTTCCTGAGAGCAAACCAATGGCAAGTTGGGGTATTCAGTATGTGTTAGGAAAAGAGCTCTAAGTTTCTGGAAAATAATAAGGCAAAGAGTTTAGTCAGTTCATCATATACATTCTTCTGTATTTAGTGAACTCAGACTTGGCTACTTTATCCTAAACCCATTTTGTTTTGAAATAGTTAGAATAAACAAACTGAAAGTTGCAGCTGTATTTACTTGACTGTTGCCTTATTAGCCTCTTATCACATATGTTGTTACATTAATAATAACTCTTGCATTCGAACCATTGTGCAACAGGCAAGCCTATCACCTTTTCCCAAGAAAGTGTGTATTCATGGGAGAGTAGGGAATTCATCCCTTGGCATTCCAGCATCTGAATTCTGCTGCTTACACTGTAACTACTTTTCGAAGTTTAAAAAATATTCCCTCCCATGTCTGAAAAATTACCTCTTTTAGGATCTCATTATGTACTTAAATACAAATGCTGCCTTTTATGAAAAGTATTGATGTATAGCTAGAACTAGAAGATTGCAGAGATCCGTTAGAAAGGTGATCTAGTGGGGATCACCAGGTCAGCCATATGTTTATTACAGATAGGAGAGGAGTGATAGGATGGTAGAGCTAATGAAAAAAGAGGTGGCAGGAGAAAAGACCACCTTCAAACAGGCATGCAGAAGGCCTAGTTTCAATTCCCAGTTTTCTCCTTGTTTTTCAGCAAATTATGTAGGTGCTGATTCAGTGAAACCTTTGGGTGCTTCACCCACAAAAGGACTCTTCCACCTGGAGTTGTAAACAAACCTTTTGCATTTTGCACTAACCCTGCATGCTGTATCATGTGGGTACCCAATGACAAACTGTGCTGGCTGCTCATAATTCCTAATGTAAAAATTGTTTTGCCAGTACATAGAACCTCAAACAAAATCAGGTCTTGGACTGCTCAAGTTGGACTTAGAATAAAAGGTTTCCTGAAATTTAGAAGACAGTCTTGTGAATCTTTTCTTAATTTATCTATGAAGCGATACTTTGGCAAAACTAATTATGTTCCCAAGGGATGGAAAATGTCGATGTTAGGAATGTAAGTTTGCTCATATATGAGGCAAGATGTTTGTGTGGGTGGGTGTTCTAGTTCTAAGGGGAAATACTAAAGACCAGATTTTGATGCTTTGCTTTTTATGGGGCAGAGTGACAACACAGTGACCAGCATGAGAAGAAATAGCATTGTCCTTGTTCTGTGGTATTGCCAAATTGCAGAGTGTGTTCTCTTGTGGTTCAATAGTATATCATAATCCACAGCTACATATATAAAATGCACAGAAACTACTTAAAAGCAGGATGTGACATCTCCTAAATTTGCAATGTCTGATATTGCAGGTTTTTTTTAATTAGCTACTTAAGACATGCATTTTTATCCCTGTGCTATAATTTAATTGTTGGTGTTTTTGAATTTTTTCCTAGTCACTGGGAGCACAGACTACTTTCTCCTGCTCATTATGCCATACTGTTAAAAAGTATTTGTTACTCATTATATTTTCAGGTTCAAGGTAAACAAGACTAGAAACCTGGAACTTCATCCCCAGTCCCTTTGAACTCCGCTATTAGCCCTTGCACTCTTCTGCCTGTGAATAAAGCCACCAGCAGTAGCCCTTTGTCGATAAACATTCCACGTTTCTACTTTCCTAAAGGACTTCCGAATGTCTGCACTAATCATGAAGAAATCATTGCCAGGATTGAAGAAGCCTTTACAGAGTTTGAAGATGAGAAAGCAAACATCTGTGAAATGGGGAAAATTGCTAAGGTAACTATTCTCTAGGTTTTTCATTTTTTGGAGAGAAAGACTGAATCTAAAAATAATAAAGTATCTCACAGCTGTTCTCATTTGTAGTGAAAAAAGAACCAATATCCTTTTGCTCTGAATGTTTTTGTTTAGATTAAGAAAACAGTAAACAAAAATGAGCTCCGTTTTTCACATCTGATGTGTATGCTCTTTCTTGCTTTGATTTGCAAAATGGTTCTTTCAGATTTCTTACCAGATACAAATTGCATTTTTGTTTTTCTGTTCCTCCGTAGTTATGCTCGGAAGATAGCAGAAACTTAGTCTGCCTCTGTGGCTTCAGGTAGTGCCAGCTGCCTTCTTTGTGGCTAGTTGCCCCACTAATCTGGGTGTGATCTATGTATACTGTTGCAGTGTTGCTTGAGAAAGCAGTTTCCAACCTACGCCTCCGTGGACACAGAAGAGGGAAATGCTTAGTCAAGCCTCAGCCACTGAGATGCATACGTTCAATATCCATAATGCAGGTGTCAGCAGACTTGGAGTTGTTACAGTCTGCTAATGAGTTCCTGGCTTCAGGGAACAAAACAAAACACAGCACTTGTGTGGGAGCACGATGCAGATGGGTGGTTCTATTTCCTCTCCTTCAACCATGGTTTTTAGTAATGCTGATCCAGAACTAGCAGTTGTCAGACGCATCTCATATGTTCAGTTTGCCCTGAATGCATCTTTGGCACTGTAGATTGAGCAATGATGTTGTGCCCAAGAGGAGCACTTGTTTTCAAAGAAGGAAGATTTTTCTGAAAGGAGAGACTGGGTTGGTTTTTTGTTTGTTTGTTTTTAGAGGAATTGAGTGGCACTATTTGTAAACCATCTCTGAAAACATAAACAGAAAAACTTCTTTGTTTGACCAAAAAAAGGTTTGAAACTGATTTTATGACAAGACAGGCAACTGTGTGTGGCCTGTGATGTTCAAACTGGGAAAAGCAGGAGGGTGGTGTAGAAGAGACCTCTGCCTTTCTGTCTGGTCTCTGCATCTGTCTCTACACGGATGTGCTCCGTGCCATTTAGCTGTTTTAAGGCTTGCTTCTGTTCCATGGGATTATTGATAAAGGTACCAGTTTTGGGGCTCTGAAATAAATGTGAGAACCAGCTACACAAAGAAAACAGCAGAAAGTAAGTCAGTCGCTAAACACCTGTAGAAGTACAGCTGCCTGACACAGGGATGGCTAAATCCGAAAGCAGTTCTTATGCTGATTGGGGTTCCCAAAGAAACATGCAGGCCCAGACAAAAAGTTGAGAATGGACTTGCAGGATAGTCTTGCTTAATAGAAGAGGTGAAAGAGGCTTTGTGGGGAAAGCAGAAGTGATGCCTCAACTACTTCTTCAAAATATTCCTCCTTCCCTTTGGTGTGATATCCTTCTTACCTGTGCCTGGCCTAAATCAGCTGTGTTCCCTCCAAGGCCTGTGTTTTGCAGATGTTCTGATACCTTGGATGGAGTCATGAAGGTGGCTGGAAAGATCTTTGTGGTAAAGAGGAGGTTTCTTGAGGGTGTCAGCAGCTGAATATTTGAAGCCATTTTCAAGCCTGCTTTTTTGAGGCATTGAGAGTACAAAATGCTTGAGCTTTCATTCTGAAGGTTACCATTCTGAAGGCTAGCAGCCTCTGCAGAGGCTAGTTAAAAAGTTGTGTTCAGGGAGTCCTTTTGCTGGAATCAGCCTCTTTCCATTTGTGCTTTCATTTTTTGTTATCCTACTGTGATCTAGCAGTGTTGGGAAAATGGGCTGTTCTGGGTGGAAGGCACTGCACTGAAAACTACAGATTGGGAATCATTTCACCTTCAGGCATTTAATCGTTAATTATCTATAGTTAGAATTAAAGTTCCCTTGCTGTCAATGAGAAGAAGTCAGTCCATATAGGAATGGGTCATCCTTTCTGAGGCAGGTCAGTGAGGTAGCTGGTTTGAGTGGTCTTCTGGAAGGAGGTGCCCGTCTCTCTCCACTTCACTTTTCAGGGAATCTTGCTAAACAGCTCAAAGACAGAGCTTAAGAGCTTGGTAGTCTCTGATCCTTTTCCTAGTCTGACAGGACATATTTCTCAGCTATTTAAAAAGGCATATGACAAAGTAGAAAGTTATTGGTGGATTCTGAACCTTGGCATACAGTAAATAGCTTTTTGACTAACCTGTGTGCCATTACCACTTTATTTCCCTTATGTAAAAGTCTTGATGGTGAATTTGGTGTGTAAATAAGCAGGCTCTTCTTGTGACTGCTTTTGTGTTCCTCTTTGTTCTGGTGTTTCATTACAGATATGTGGCTGCCCACTCTACTGGAAAGCACCTATGTTCAGTGCATCAGGAGGAGAAAGGACAGGATGTGTATCTGTACACTCATTTGTATCTATGTGGAGAAAGTGAGTATAGCAAATACAAAATTCTCTTTCTGGAAAAAGAGAACAGCCTGCCATAGACCCCCCCCCCCCCCCCCGACTTTTCAAATCATTGTCCCTTATTTAGAATTAAATAAATGGCTTAAAAATCTCTATCAGCTTAAGTTTTCTTCCTCAAAACTCCCTGAACACTTGTTTCCACGCTGCATCAACAAACTTTGAAGCAATTGTATAGATGATGACATGTTTTGGTCTGGTTGGCATATAAATCATATTAACACACTCCCTAGAAATATGTCAGCCTTTCATGAGATAGCTGATAGATGTCAGTGGATTTTGGATATATTTATCTGAGGCCTTATTGCTGCTACACTAGTGCACTAAGTGAGTGCCATTTGGGAATGGGGAGAGGAGGCATGTTATAGGACAGGAAGAAGGAATGTAAAGTAAAGAAGCATCATACAAGTGGATACTCTGGGAGCTTTAATAGTTATTACCTTAAGCACACAGTATAATAAATCTGTGGGGTTTGACAGTCACTTCCACATACCATTGCCAAGGCTTCTTTTTGAAATTGAGAGCTCTGGATATATCGTGCTCGGAGTCAGAGGTGTGAGATGGAACAGACTTGCTCTCTTGCCTAATCTTTTTCCTTCCAGCAATTCAGGCTTTAGTCTACTTTGTGAAACACCTGAACAACGTCACCATCTCATATCCAGAGAGAGTTCTAATTTTTGACTTAATGGTTGCTCTTCAGATTCTTAAAGTAGCCTTTAACCCTGAGTTCCCAAAGTATTTCCTGCGATAATATTGTCAAAACAGCTTCTAGTTACCCTGGCAAAATAGCAAAAATGTTAGGGGTGACTGTGATCAGTAAGTTTTTCTTGACACAGACAACGTTTTTTCCTTCCTTAGGTTCCTCCAATTACTCCTAATTAATCCCTCATGCATGATACCACATACTTTCACTCCTGACTTTCACATCCTTCAGATATTTGCAGAGTGTGGTCATGCCCCTCTTCTGTATCCTTTTAACCACACCATTTCCAAGCCAAGTTTTGTATGCTTTTCTCACTTTAATTGCTCTGTTAGAAAGCTTTTTTTTCCCTCCTCTTCCCCTCTGACAGTTGCAAATTTTTTTTATGGAAACATGATAGACATAAATGTAGTGTTCCTCGTAAAGTTAGACTACAGCTATCTGAACACAGCCATAATTTTAAAACAGTTATCTTTAATTGCTGAAGCCTGTTTTCAAGTATCTTAGTAGCTGACCTGGCTTTTCAAAATGCTTCATGCTCACTGATCTCATTTGCAGTCAATAGGAACTGCTGGGTATAGAATACTTCTGAAAATCAGATCTTTTATTTTGCTGCTAAAACATAGCTTTGGGATTCATCTTTATGTGCCTGATAATTTTTTTAAAAAGCTAAAACATTAGCACCTCTTTTCTACAGCAGATTTAGAATGTATCTGTTAATTGACAGCATGATATGAATGTGCAGCTAACAGGATTGCTTGTCAGCCACTAAATTTTTTTTTTCTCCTTTTTTTTTCTTTCTTTTTTTTTTCATGGAAGGCTTATTTTAAAATAACATTTTTTTGTAAAGAGTGATGAGGCCAGAATTAGCAGCAAGCCAGTTACAGTGTGATCTCTACAGGAAAACTACAGGTGTTTCAGTACTATGTTTCAATATAAGTTCATACACTTTCAGGAGAGGAGGGGGGTGAATAATCACTCATAGTAAATAATTAACAGTGCATTTGTATTTTCACAGTTATTGAAGAATGCAAGGTAATTTTCAGAGTAATTGTTGTTTCCCTTCTATTATATGAACAACTTAGTGTTTGATATATCCAAATGTTCTCTTCTGTTACAGGTATTGAGTAGTGATTTGATAAATGTCATGGAGTTTCCGTTTTCATGAGTATTTCTGTTTGGAGTGAATTAAGTAATTGTGATACCTTTGACCAGTGTAGTATTTTGTATTAGATGAAAGCAGAGACAAGAATCGGTGTCATAGATGCAAACTGTCAACCTAAGGAATGAGTTTACATGCTTCTCTAAATACTCAGTCCTACTAATTCTTTCATTAGGCTGTTCTCCATGACTTCAGTGCACAGCAGCCAGCCAGCTGTGCCATAATTAACAAGGGGTGCTCTTTTTTCCTTTCTGGGGAGTGATTTTTCTGTTTGAAAATTTAGTCATTGTAGTTTGGCAATATCCTTAAATATTGAAATACAGTTAAGGATTAAATTGGAGAGCATGTCTGTTATGACATCCCGTTAGGTTGATCCTATTAACTTCAAATTAAATCAGTGAGCATGCAGCATTTTGAAAAGTCATGTTACTGACTAAGATGCTGTGGAATCAAAGTAAGAACAGTCTTCAGTAAGAAACCTTGTTTACCATAGCAATGTTAACATGAAAAAAGCTCCACTGGGTGGTAGTACTGTGGTGCTGCTGAAAGATATTGAAGAAAATGGGTGCTGGTAGTCTGAGGTCAATTTTGCACAATTCACAGTGTAGATGTATTGTGTAACATGTGGTAAGGCACTTCATAATCCATCTGTAGTTTGTGATTGTCCTGTGAGGTACAAAGTGGTTGGAGTAACTCTTCATCTCTCTCGTAGAATCCTATGTAACTGCCATGATGATGCATCCAGATTCACGTATCTTTTAGCGAAGCCTAGCTGTGACTACCTAGAACAGGAGGACTTCATCCCGCTGCTTCAGGTACCTGCAACAGCTCAGCAGTAAATGCATGGGGAGAGAGAACTATGTTTATTTTGTAACTTCTTTACTTTCATGTCTTTAAGTATTTACCAAGGACATGCAGACCTTTGGTTTGAAAAGCACCTGGGTGGGGTTTATTTTGGAGTGAAATTGAAATAAGCATTTTAAGTGGACTATTTTGCATAAGTGCCAACCAGCTACATAACTTGCTAAAGTCGCTGAGGATTGTCAAAGCTTTATTTAGTCTTGTCTGGATTCGTGTTTATCAGTGCCTGATAACCAGCCTGAAATTTGCCCCATCTCTCTAGGTGGTTATTGGGAAAAATGCACCGCACTGTTGATACTCAAGCACAACATAAAAGCTTATTAGAAAAGTTGTAAAAGTTGCTTGACAAGACAATTATAATTGAATTTGTCTAGCAAGACTTCTAGATACAACATCACATGGAAATCTTTGCAAAAAATTTTGCAGTTCCAATTGTTTTGTATATGCCTCTAAACCTGCTAGTGCACAAGTCTCACTGCTGACTTTTTTTTTTCCTAATATTCAGGCTAAATCTGTGCATCCTGGTTTCATTCCTTTCTTTTCCTTTTATTCACGTGATATTTTTAACAAAGCAAAGTATTATTCTTTAATTATTTGTGACCATTTAGGCAGGCTCTGGGTAGGTTTAGGATTTCTTTATAGTTTCTCTATAAATCAGCTCCATCTGCTCCTCTGATCATCTGCTGATAATTTTGCTGAGCTTTTCCACATATCCCTAGATTTCTCACACTGTGTTGCCCTCTATGCAAAACCTCTGTGGAGATGCTCCTTTGGAGAAAGATTTTGTCTGCACTGGATGTTTCTGTGTCTCAAACAAAACTGAGACTGTGATGGGTAAATTTTCTCATGTTCCTTTTCATCTTTTCTCCACTGGGCACACTGCCTTTCCTGATTGATTGCAGCTGTGCTTTTTAGCTACTGGTGCAATCAAAGGCATGTAGAATCTTGTTTGTCAGTCAACCAAAGACTAGCAATATTACACCATATTACACCGTCATATTAGACATCAAGTTAGACTGGCCAAAATTTGGTCATATCACACCCTGAAGGGCACTGTGTCTGGTCTATCCCTTTGCCATGTCATGGTATAGACAAAGCAAAACTTTGAGCACTTTTTTAAAGTGTAGAGGAGTCAGACATGTAGAAATTACACAGACATTGATTCATACAGGATCTGAACTGATTCATTCAGGATCTGAGCAGTCTCTCCACATTTTTGGTCATGCGTTTCTTGGCAGGTTTGGCATTATGAGCCAGTGTTGACTTACAAAAAGCTGATCCTGAGAAAGAGGCATCTCCACAGGTAGTTCAAGTAAATTTTTTGAAAAACACTGATCATATCTGTATGCATTCTGAGGCTCACAAGATCTTTCATTGTTGTGGAGGACATAAAAGGCAACTTTCTCAACCTTTCAAGGAATATTTATTTCTGACACCTAGCTCTAACAAATGTTAATATCTTCAATGAATGGAGGAAAAAAGAGACCTTGGAGAGGAGATAGTTGCATGGTCAACTAACTAATTTTTTGTCTCATTCAATGAAAACGAGTTTCCATCTACTCACTAACTCTCTTCCTTTGTTTTTCTGTCCTTAAGTAAATCAAAATGGCCCAACAGGTGCGTATTGCCCAGAAAATGTATTCTACTTATACTTCTAGAAGGTTCACTTTATAGATAAAAAGATGTCATTTCAGTTTTATTGTTAATGCTGCAAATACAGTTTCAAAAGTAAGCAAAAGTATTGGTTTGTAAACCCAGTAACTTCTAAACATTGAAAGGAGAAGAAAATCTATTTCATTTTATTTGGTCTTATCTTGCAGGATGTGGTGGAAACGCATCCTGGCCTGACGTTCCTGAAGGATGCTCCCGAGTTCCATTCCCGGTATATTACAACGGTAGGCTGGCTCCTTTGATCTCCTGTGATACTGCTGTACCAACCCTCCCTTTGTGATTTGTCATTGTTCCCATCAGCAAATCCTTCAGTTATTTCAAAAAATAAGTGTTTTTAATATTACTGGCAAAGAATTATTTTAAGAACTACTTCCAAAGGAAAAATGAATCTGCCCGTGTGTACAAGAGGTTATTCAAGAGGTTAATAATGATTCTTTCTGGTCTTAAGCAAATCTATAAAAAAAAAAACTTTTTTAGCCTTTAATCCTGATGAAGCAAAATGAGAGGTCCTCCTTTGGTCTTTGAGAGCTGCTGAGTTACTCCTAATGCTGCTGGGCTGCTGAGACATGGAAGGCTGTATGTTTGAAGATTTCTGTCACTTAGGCATGGAGAATCTGTGATTGTTCCATGGTACGAAATATCCGTTGTGCACAGGGGCCTACTGTCCAACTTTCCTGCCTCTCGCTCTTGCCAGAAAGCCTATCTAGTCTTTCTGAGTCTCTGAGCTTTTGTGACTACTGTTTGTTGTTGGGTTTTGCTCTGTAGCTTTGTTCTAACTTTGCAGTCAGCAGTTAGACTGGTGCTTTACCTGAATAAGTTTGTACTTTTTTTACGCCTTTAGCTTGTCTCATGTTGGGTATGAATCTGGGTAAAAGGTATAAATGTTAGGATGTTTTATCTCTGCAGCAGTAACAAATTCAAATAATGACAGACCTGATGGGAGCTGTATCCCAACAGGGCTCAAGGGCTTAAAGTTTCTCCTGTTTGCTTGCCAGGGTCTGCATGGGGGCCAGCTGCACCACATACTGGCAGCTGGGAGATTACTGGCAGACACAGGCTTGTTCCTTTCCTGTAAGGAACAGATGGCAGAAAGACACTGTTGCTCTGGGCAAACCCTGAACTGTCACACTAATGTTTTATGAAAATGTATAACAAGAATCAGTTTTAAATGTTTAGATGCACTTGAACATGACAGTGAACATCAGTGTATTATCAACACTCCATTACATGTCCCCATGGAGCAAGACAAAATACATTAATCATAGTAACTGGCCAGTATAGGTATAACAATGGCTAGGGAATTATGGAGGCACATGAATGGGTGAGTGTGGAAGGTGCCTGTGGTACATGTACCCTGGTATTTGGTGTTTAAAGTACATGGAGGTGTGAGAGCTGAAAGATTTAAGGTCACGCAGCGGTTTCTGACTGCAATATCAACCAGTTGTTCTTTGCCGGTGAGCGGGTCAAGATGCAATGTGTGGTTGTCCAGATGCTGGCTGTTGGGTGGTGACAAAGGCAGTTCTGTGCATCTGCCTTTCCAGGTTCCTCTTCTCAAGTCACATGCTGTTCCGGTATTTTTCGGGGTCTAAAGGAGGGAATAAAGGCAAGAAACAAATGTCTTTGTAGAGTGGTCCCCCAAATGATCACCCTTGGTGTCCCAAAGCAGCAGTTGCTGCGTTTTCTGGACCTCATCAGGGTGCAATGCATGTTTTGGTCTGAGAGACCAGCTGTGTGAAGCTGACGTTCCACTTCAAGATAACTGAAGTGCAGGCTGCTACTAAAAAGGGCAACACCTTTTCCCTCCTCTCTCCTTTTCCACAACTTCCCTTGTGCCGGGACGAGGTCCTGTGTGACCACCATAAAGCAGTCACAGAACCAGAGCCTTCATGAGTACCTGAAGCTCCTCAGTGCTTCTTGATTCTGCTGTGCTTTCCTACTTCAGTCTGAGCCTTTAGGCACCCTTGCTCACAATACTCTGACAGAGGTGGCTTCCTAGGCTTGCTCCCAGGCAGCCAGGAAACAGTGGTGCTTGTGGTTGAGGCAAATGGTGTGTAGTGGCGAATCTTACAAAGCTGTGATGTCCTTCACAGACTCCTCACGCTGGCAGGACAGTGCTGTTCTGGGTGTCTGTGCCGACAGACAGATTCCTTCTGAGCTCAGTGTGTTCGGCCTTGGCCAGATCACTGAGTTGGAGCAGAGTCAAGACCTCGGGAGACAGTCAGTCTGCTGGGTCAGGTTATTCCCATCTGGAGTGGCAGTACCTGGCCCACTGCAGCAGTGGCTCTCCTCTCTGATACCAGAAGTTCCTGTTTCTCACATCTCCTTTCACAGACAGTTTGGTACTTCTTTCTCTTTAATGTTACAAAATTCAGTATTTCCACCAGGATGTAATGAAGGAAACAGCTTTGTTCTTGGAATTTGAGACTACTTGGATCCTTTTGATCCCTTCAAGGTAGAGTGCCTTATACCTACTTACAGTGACAGAATGCTGTATTTGCTGCAAGTGCAAGAATTACATTTTATTTTTGTGTTACAGATGAAGGCTGTAAGGAGACACTGGCTTTTGGGTTCATTGCTGGATACAGCATCACTTGGTTGAAATCACCTGGAGAGTAAGCTAACAGTCTAGTATGGGTAAGATGTGTATGCACGTTTCAATTTTTTTTGCCTACCTCTGCACCTTTTAGAGATGCCTTTTGGATACAACAGGCTGTAATTTAATCTGTATCGGTATCTGTGAGCTGTTGTATTGCCAGTATACTAAACTACTTGTGTTTCTTTCAACAGAGAACAACTCCTGAAGCTGGTGAAGACGATGCAGAATATCACGTAGCATTTATTGTAAAAGCTTTAAAATGTGACTTCTCCCAGAATGTTCAAACAAGGCTGAGAGTTAGCACTGCATGCTGTTGTTGAAAAGCTGAGTCAACTAAAAACGACTTGGCAAAACATATTGCGTGTTGAAAGATGCTTCAGCTTATGCAGTATTACCAATGCGAATGTGTAAGGGGAGGATGGCCTAACAGGGTTTAATAAAGCTTTGTGTTTTTTTCCAGAAATGGTATTGCTTTTGTTCTTCTGTGTGAAGTTTGGGGAAAGGTCTAGAACTGACCCATCAATGGTTTGGGTTCTTGGAGGTAGATTACATGAGGATAATGGGCAAATAGGAAGGGGCTCTCCCTTCCAAAGGCTTATGTACTGAATTCAGAATAAATAATCTTCCATGCTGGGAAAAACGAAGCCAGTTATGGCTTTCAATAAGGCATAACTGACAAGTGTGGCTTGAATGCTGCAAGTCATCTCAGGCTGTGTAATTATGTTCGAGAATGTTTCCCAAATGCTTTTTTTGACAGCTTGGTTTTCACAACCTGGAAAAGAAAGAGAGAAGTATTGACACTTTATGCTGATATATACACTATGTACTATCCATTGAAACTGGACCATTATTTGAATAATAAAGCCTGCATGAGTGACTGAACATGGTAAAAGAGATCCCGTTTTACCTCTGAATGCCTTAGAGGCATTCAATTCATAAACATCTTTATCAATATAGTCTGATAGAGGAACAGTTTCTTATATGTCACAAACGGGGATATTTTGTTGTCTTTTATTACCTTGCAGGCAGAGGAAAAGAAAAAGATTGCTGGTTAGGGGTCCTTTTTCTTATTCTTGGGACTGTTATTTTTGAGTCCTTGGAATGGTGTGAAAACCCTGTATCTTTAAGAATTGCTACGGAGTTGTCAGGTGGGATAATGGGTTATGTATGAGGTGAGACCCACTTCAGTCTCTCAGCTGTTGTGCAATCTGGAAGCAAAGGCCAAACAGAGTCCAAAAATAGAATCCAGAATGGCAGCGGCTGCCAGAGGCATTAAAGAAGAAACAAACATACAGTGTTTTCATTGTGCTTAAGACCAGAAGAGATCATTGTGATTACCTAGTCTGACCTCTTGCATTACACAGGCCATAGAACATTGCTCAGTGATTGCTATAGTTAGGATAGATTTTTTTGGTTTGTTTTTAATTGAATTGACACCCAGCTTTAGAAGGACATCCATCTTTGTTTTGTAGTCTGGAGTGATAAAGAGGCTGCAGTGTTTCTCTGGGAGTTGTCCCAGTGGTTAATCAATGGCAGTGTAAAAGAAGTGCATTCTTATCTGTCTGAATTAGGCTGAGTTCAGATTCTAGTTACGTATTTCATGAGAGACAAAAAGTCCTCCTGCTGTCCCATGTCTCCCCGTGTACGCTTTTAAGGACCAGGATAGCTACTAATAGGCGTCATGTTCAGCTAAGTTGAATATATTAGTTCTCTCTCTTCAGGATACATTTTGAGTCCTCACATCATTCTTGTTGCTCTCCAAATTACTTGTGCAGATCAGCATTTACTGTCTCACTAATCTGTGTATCCCAAAGCAGACTGTTAGCAACAACTCATACTTGGTTCCATATCTGTTCTGGACTAAGAACCAGGGCTTGTGTGACTGAGTCAAAGCATGGCCCTTAAATGGTGATTGCCCAGTTGAAGCTAGTTCTAGCTAAGAAACAAACCCATTCCATTTAATTTGTTAACCGGATTAATCCCTATAATGTCCATATTGTTGTGTAAAGTTAATTTTCATGTTGGAATAGCATGCACTATTAAGGTTTACCAAAATTCTAGGATAATATGTCAATATGGTGTCAGAGACATCAAAGGTTTGTTTGTATTAGATTTGGTCGACAAGAATTATATTCCATAGATTCCCGTGCTGATAGTCAGATTAATTATATTTCTAATTTCTCTTGTTGAAGATGTTTATTTGTTGTTGTTTCCCCTGTTAAGTTTATTCTTGCATGTGCTTGATCACACATTCGCATTTTCCCCACTTTGTGATGATATTTGACAAGCTAACAAGGAGCAGACTAGGAAGAGTTCAGCTTGCTTTTTTTAGGTACTTGGGAGGGTACTCAGTCTCATACTGTGAACAGTCTCTCTTGGGTTCTCCCCCATGCTTTTTGCTTACTTTCACCAGAGGCAGATCAGTAAAGGAGACAAATGAGGTTAACAACTCCCTAAGATAAATGTAGACAGATAATCTCTATTGCTTGCTTTCAGTGGAGCCACCAAGAGGATGAAGCATTGTTGTACACACAATAGGTCAGACATCAATTGTGGCTTTCATTTACATGTCCTGTTTCCTCTTCAAAAGTCCTGATTTTTTTTTCTGGTGCAGAACACTATTTCAATGGAGATCCATGCAAGCTACAGTGCCTGAAACCTGAAAAACTCAGTTTGAAAATGATTCGTCAGCACTTTGAACATATTCCCTGACATAAATAATGCATCTGCATGCTCAAAGATGTGAATTAAGAGCAGTGAAAGTACTTGCAGAGTGGAAATGGGTAATACTGTTTCAGAAACAAATGTTACTTTCAGACTGCATAGTGAATTAAGGATAGTAATATCTACAAAAAAGATCACAAAACAGTTTTCAAAAAGGAGTCCCCTTAGGATGAGTGAATAAACAAAATAAAGTTACTGCGTTTAAATTCCCAGACTGGTATATTTCAGGAGTTGATTTCAAGAGCTCTGTTCATGTGTTGCAGGTTATACAGAGAATATTCTACACAGTCAATCGATCCTGGTCTGGGAAGATCACTCTAACAGAGCTGAGGAAAAGCAACTTCTTGCAAGTATGTTGGTTTCTGCCTGAACAAGATATAGAATGCATCATACCTTTGTTCCTATAGCTGTACACTGTATAGTGAGGGAGCTGTACCTGGGTTGTAGTGAGGTAGGCCAAATGCTCAGTGTCGGGAGGAGTTGTGTCTGAGTTGGCATGAGAAGACCAGGGACTGGAGTAGCCAAGAGTGCACTGACAGAAGGTCAAGGGGCGACTGTGCACCTTCTCTGAAGCTACATCAGGCATATTGGCTCTTGGCTCCTGATACAGCCAAAGAGGAAGGGAAGCAAGATGCAGCAGTGCACCTCTGTTAAGTGACTCATTGAGCAGCCAAGAATAGCTGCTGGATTGCCTACAATATGTGGTGGGTAGGAGAGCCAATTTCCTGACTCCCAACCGGCAATCAGCCCACTGACAGTTGGTCAGGCATGTTGTGCTGTGCAATTGCAAGACCATGCATCTCAGGAGCTGATTTCCACTTCTGCAGTAGACTTCTTCAGAAAGGTTGATGAATGAAGCTTAGTTCTTGTTACAATCCCTGTGATGTATCCTTATGTTGGGCAGAGGTTTCAGGATTTGGATCTCTGTTCTCTGTATATTTTGCCCAAAAGAGCACCAGGTTAAAACTGTCTAAGGCTGCTCAACTCCAGCCCAACCTAAAAAGCCAGAAAGTCTTTAGGCTGAAAGGTTAAGGACTCAGCTAAAGCAGTGAGACTTCCCTACTGCATCCTGTTCTCCCTTCTAGATGTAGTGTGTTGTCTTCCTCAAAAGCCTCAAGCGTGAATTTGCGCTCCTCCTCCTTTCAGATGTCTTCTGCCCCCCTGATCACATCAGCTAATGAAAAAAATCAGTGCTCCCTTGGATTGTCTCACCCCAGTTCCTCCCTAACCTCTGTTATAAACAAATCCTCTCAACTTATCCTGCATCTTTATTCACTCATTTTCTCCCTTTATACACTCTTCCCCTTTCTCTCCTTGCATATCTACTCTGCCTTTCATCTCCTGCAGCAGGGAAGTTCAGCTCTGGGACCGTAGTTTCGCTTGGGCAGCTCTTTGCTGCATGTGTAAATGGCATATTTTGGCATGAGCTATAAAAGAAAAAAATTAGTTACTGAAAAACCTCCCCAGCTGATTATCATCTGTAAAGAAATGGAGAGCCCCACGAAGAATCTGAAGAGGCTAGTGAGTGATTGATCCAAGGTTTTTAGACTTGAGTGTCAGCAAGTCAGAATAGTGCAGATCTGGCAGTGCTATCATGTTGTCCCTGCCTGAAACTTTACTGAACCTGGTGGATAGCAGGATGTGAGAGTTTTGTTGAGATTCAGCTGGGTTCCTTGGATGTGGAGATGACTGAAAGGTGACATTGAACTCAGTGCCTACATATAGCACAGCATCTGTTTTTATGGTTATGGATAGAACAGCCATTAAGCCTGCCTGCTTAGAGATGCAACTCCCTGGGAGCTCCTAGGCTGCATTTCACCTCCTCTCTTCTGAGAGGCTGTGAGAGCAGGGGAGGACAGACCTATAGCTCACTTGAGTCTGTAAGCCTTTTCACATTCCTGCAGCCATAATTTCTTAGACTGAAAAGGCTGTCTGGTGTCCCGTGGCCTCAGCACTAGGAGAAAGGCAGGCAGGGAGGTGGCACTGGTAAACATGCAATACCCTCCTGT